CCATTCTCACTAACAAAGGTTTCCCTCAGTGGAGTGTCAGTGGGTTCAGTTGTACGGCTGGGAACAATACATGCTGTTGTACAAGTTTCTGTGTGTGTGTGAGTGTGGTGCTCTGACAGATAACCAGACCTCCCCCGTAGCTACTGTCCTTAAAGGAGGCTGGGGCCTGTGAGCCATCAGACGTCTGAGAGTAAATTCCAGGTTGTAAATCCCCACGTTCTCCATTCACTGCAGACAGAGACAGTTTGTGTGTAGGAGGCTTAACGCTGCTCGATGCGCAGGTTGAGGCGCAGCACACCGTGACACACGAGGAGAGTTAGCGCGCGCCTAACATGTGCTGGAATAACTTTGACCGTGTTTGACTTTAACTGTCGCAGTTATTGATTGAAATACCATTAAGCTGCAAGATATGCAGCTGAAAAAATTGGCAGATGGTCATATGTATGCTAATGTTTTCTATTTGGACTGCGCTACAAGGCTGGACTGAAATTCTGAGATGTGTTTTTATGACATATGATATTCAGCTCGGGGCTACTTTCCATCATTAAGATTAAAGGTGTTTGTCACCTCATTACTCCAGACCACGACGTAGCTGTAGCTCTGTGTAGGCTTTGCTGTCGAAACATGTTCAGCCATAACCAATAATGACACGTTTCCGCTGGTGCATCAAGGCACCAGAGCCAAAAGACACAGGCAACATCTGACACCAACTAGTGTAAAAGCACATTATTCCAGTCCTAATACATACTCCCCATGGTTCCCAGCTCTCTTTGGGAACCTAACTGCAAGTGTTAGGCATTCTACCAGAGTCATTTAGGTATGCAAAGACATAAACGCGCAGATAGGCTTCTGAATTTTTTCTTATAGGGTGATTATTGGCCCCAATGATCACAGCTATCCTCCACTGCAACTCTGCAGCACATGACCAGAATGAAAACTGCGAGGGGGAAAATTTGATTGATGGAAACCTGATGTTTGACATAACCAGCTTAACAAATAATCATTTTCTGCACTTTAATTGGGCGGATTAAACAGCTTACATGTCATTCATATCAATGAAACCTGTTCAGGAGCACAGTTTCCTATAATTTTTTCCCTGATGTATTTGTAACTCGGCTCTTGCAGCAGTTGTTGTTGCCATTTCCTCCAAATTGCTCCTCATAGAAATGGGCTGATTTCGAGCATCCCATAACGCAGCGGAATCAATATGAGTGACACCTTAGACACTTCCGAGGAATGAGATATAACCATCCACCTGTGTTTCTGCGGCACATGCTGCCGCACTTATGAAATGATAAGCTCTGTACTGTACCAGGAGAATCATTTATGGAAAGCATTAAGGAGCGCTCACACCCCCAAACTAAATCACAATCTCATCGACTGCGCCCACCTCGAATTATGACCCTATCAGCACAAAACAAAGTAATGAATGTGATTCTCTGAGCTCGTGCACCAGATAATGTGTGATGAGAACGCCTGCGCACATGAATTCGGCTACTACAGGAATCAATATGCGCTCTCCTTCCTGGAACAAATTAGATATCCAAGCTGCAATAAAAGAGCGAGAGGCGTCCTATCACTCTTATTCACTCCCCGTATTAATGACATAAGTTTGACAGCAGGCCTGCTTAATACGCCTCTGAGTCTGCGTTTGTTTTTGGACCGTTGATGTGAAGATTTCTGGGTAGCTTGTGATTGGCAAGATGAGCTGATTTTGATTTATTTATTTATTTATTTGTCATGTGTTTTTGCATGTTGTTGGATGAATAAGCGCATTTGTGGGTGGTAAACTCGATCATAAACATATTGGATGTCGTCTCATCTCTTCTACCAATTAAGCTGCCATAGTTGACGAGGAAGAGCAAGAGGGATTACGGGTAGGCGGCAGGGAGACGGTGGGCGATGATGGGATGTCAGACTGACAGTTTCGGCTGACAACCGTGTGACTTTAAAAGTCCTTGCTCTGACACTGAGATGGTCCCACAGGGTAAATGTTTTTGCGCGTGCGCACACACACACACACACACACACACACACACACACACACACACACACACACGCAGTAGTGTTGGCTCAGGTAGAGCTACCTGCCAGTGCTGTCATGCAGTGTGTACACAAGACCCGGATGCAGCTGACAGCCCTCTGAAAGAATCCAAAGAGGAGTAATTATAAACACACAGTCCAGTGTAAATATACTAAAAAAAACAAGACCGGTAGTGCATACACACACACACAGGCACGCACGCACACACCTGGTGCTGCTAGCCAGTTGATGACAGGCCTTTTGTCTTTCATTCGAACCCCCGCCAGCAGCATGAACCCCTCTCAGCTGCCAGAGCTGATAGCATTGCTCAGCTATTTGTCTTCATGGTGCCAAAGCAGACATCAAAGGCTGCACAAAATGCCTGTTTCAGGGCAGCTGCTGTGTTGGGTGATCAGTGTGGGGGCATGTAAGTGAAGGCTAAATAAACTAGGAAGTGCATATATATAGAAAAGCAGGGTAATCTGCATATGGAGCTACATTTAGCAATGTAAAATTGCATTAGGCAGCACTTTTGGTCAAATCAAATGAGGCTGCTCACCAGCAGAGGCCCAAAAATGTCTTATTAGAAGTAGTATTAGTGGTAGTTTTTTGAGTTTTTTTTAGAAGAAAGTTTATCATGGATTGTCTTATTTGTCTTTATTCGTAAAAAATATCTAGTTTTCCCTTAACTTCTGATCAGTTCCAAAATTTCCCTTTGCTGAGTTTAGTGTCATTTATTTTGCCGTAACTTTTAGGCCTCTAAAATGTACTTTTTTAAGCTCTGCCCTACTGTATGCAGTAAAAAAAGATCTATAAATAAAACAAATAAGCAAAGTGGATCCAACAAGTCTTCCAACTATTTGTTCTTAGTGTTATTTAAGTCCATAAAATCATTAAATTCTACCCAGTTTAATTTAATATAAAATACACCAGTTGATTGCAGCAGTCACCTCAGGGTGCAACAATATTGAAGAGAGAAACCCAATAACCATGACAGTTCCTTGTGGGCAGCACTTGATAATGATGGGAAAGAACAGAAACCTGCAGAACCGGGCTCAGGAGAGGGGCATCTATGTTCCATGACCAGAGAAGAGTGAAAAGAGGGAAGTGGAGAAGAAATAATCATGGCATCATCATCATGGCGATCACCCAGTAGCCTGGGCCTATCACAGCTTAACTAAAGTTGTGTCTACACAGGAAGCCACTAGCAGTGATTTGGCGACCAGAGGCTAGCAATTCAGTGACTGCAGGTGAAATTACTGCTGTCTCTGTGAAAAAGGCAGTGTGAAATCCTCAGTTAAACAGGGCTTAAATGTAAGGCAAGCAATGGAAGTGACCATTCATCAGACTATAGGATACGGTTAATTGACAGATGACAGGATAGTAAATAATTAGAGGGTTGCTAAGCAACACAAACCTGGAATTTGCACCAGTAACCAGCCATCAGTGACAAACTGCAATGAACAATAATAATTTAAAATGTAACCTATGAGCAGCTCTCACAGATGTCTTTTCTGTGCAGGATCATCTGCTGATCCTTTTCTGTTCATCAGCAGTTTCTTAGTTGTAGTTCTCATTAATTAGTCCTTCGTTTAGAAGCCGAGATACCGTGACGACTTTAAAAAGTTCACCTATAATTTATGCAGTTTAAAATCTTCTGATGTGTTTTACAATGATCCGTGTGGAAGGTTTGTTTTGATCTCAGCAGTCCAAATTAAACAGTGGAGCATGTTATAGATTTGCATCTTGGTTGGCGTGTGTCCGCCTTGGAGGAGGCTCTCTGGGCTGGCACTGACTCTGGTGTTAATGCGTAACTTCTGATTGGGGAATCTGGCTGCTGGCCTTATCTGAGTGTTACATTACTTCTGGCTGACGGAGCTGACTAAAAGCTCCTGAGAATCAGATTACTGCATGCCAGCAGGGAAGGACCAAGGTACAGTAAAGTGGCAGTAAAATAGCAGGAACAGTGGTGGAAATTGAATTCAGTTCGGACACAGTCAAATGGGCTGTGTTTCTTTTTTACTGTATAACTTTACAGGAATAGGAGTCTCTGTCTTAGTCTCTGTCTTAGTGTACCCTGACTCTTGCCTCTTTGTCAGCATGCTTCAGTTCTACGTGACCCTGAGAAGGATGAGCATTTAAGAAACAGGACTCAGTTTTAAGTTGCATTAATGCATGACTCCTAAATAAGTGGCTGTATATAAACTGTGTACAAACAAATGCACTTCCCTCAACCTGGTTTAGTACTTCAAATTACTACCTGTGTCATTTGAAGACACTTGTAAAGTTTTCTGGTTCATGTATTTTCTTTTCTTTTAGTTTTAAAATTATCAGCAGAACTTAGTGATCTGCCTTCAGGACTCTTTTGCCTACATATCCTGTACAGTACTGTGATGTTGCAGTTCGGTACATAGGGTATGTAGTTTAAAACTGTAATAATATGCCTGCTAGAACAGCTTGTATAAACTAAATTGGGGTTTTTTAAACTTGACTTGACTTGAAGGTTAAGAAGCATACAACAGCAGATACCAACTATATTCATCCAGCAAGCTGACGTAACGCTTCACTGTAACGTAGCTACTGTACGAATTTAGCAAAAACTGCTTTGCGATGTTAGCAGAGAGGATCGGTTGAAAACTGTAAGCTGGGCAATTTATAAAGTTAGTCCCAGAAGTTTACATAAGGAACTCCAGTCGTTCCTTGGATACTGTTTGGCTCCAGCTTGTGATAAAGTTTTTCTTGAGATTTAGTTATTGTGACAATAGCAAAATCTCAAAAGTTGGTCCATCTCCTTTTAATTCAACTCCCAAAACCCATTTCTAGAACAAAAGTGCCATCCACTCATCTTTTCATTTTTCTGTTGTGGCTGTGCTATAGTGAAGAAGGCACAGCTGGGGATTGAGCCTCCTCCTCTCTTTCTCCTTTATACTTCTTTTTTTCATGGTGACCATGTCGCTGCTCTTCGTGTCCTCTTCAGAGTGTCATCCCTCCTGCTGGCAGTGTGCTGGGCCATCTGCAGACAACTGTACGTCCTGTCCCTCCCCGTCCAGCCTGTACAAGGGCCGCTGTGTCCCCACATGCCCACAAGGCTTCCTTATTCAGGACAACCAATGCCAAGGTGAGAGCACATACACACACACATATCTGCTTTTGTACTATTGAGTCACACTCAGTGTCATAGTATTGCTTAGCCTAGATTCTAACCTTAACGGTAAAACACACAAAAAAAAAGTCTTTACTTTGCAAAAATGGTCTCGAGGTTAACTGCTCCTTAAAAAAGGAAGTGAAACAATGGCAAACGTGTGGCAAATCCGTCTTTGTTCTAGGCCTTTATTCTTGATTCACTCACCTGTTTCATGATTTCCTTTATTTGCCGGTGTTTAAAACCCGAGACTGAGAAAAGAGATGGGTGCTGGTTCTCAGGACCACATCAACACAAGGCTAATAACTAGTGTTTTATTCAGTATGACCCAAAAAAAATTACTCTCTTTGCATTTGACCCATTCACTCAGTGAAGCAGTGGGCAGCCACTAAGCAGGCACACCGGGGAGCAGTGTGTAGGGACGGTACCTTGCTCAGGGGTACCCGTTCAGTGGATTCGAACCCCCGACCTTCCGATCATGGGGTGACAATTCCACCTACTGAGCTATCCCTGCCCCAAAGGCACTGCTAGGATTCAAACCCAAGATCTCCTGTTTACTAGACAGGTGCTTTAACCAACTAAGCCACAGCACCACCGAAGCACAGGATCAAAGATTTATACAGCTAATAAGTTGTGATGGTTTTGCCTATAAAGCCGAACTGGCAAGACTTACAGACATGTGAAAGAATAAAATAAAAAATTCATCATTTTTATCTTACATACACAGATTTATTTGGTTTTGGTAAATATCCTGTAAGTATCCTATAAATATCCTAGCTGTGAAATGTATGCGAGTGCTACAGGTAACTGTGATTTGGATGCATGTAGCTGTCTTGCAGAGCGGTAATCAGAATTTATTACTATGTTTGTCCAAACTTTATATATCTGACCCATTAAATGACTCTCATTCCTCAGTGTGGCTCTTAGTGAACACATGTTAACCTTAGCTGGGCTCTTCTCCCCATCTATCCCCCGCCCCTCTGTGACTCGCCTACTTAATGAAAATCCATTTGCTCTAATCTCCAACTCATTACCTCAGCTCGGTGTATTGACTCTGACCTCATTTGAAACAAGATGACCCTTCCTATCTTCCATTTACCAGCTTTATTCTTTGGTCTTTTTTAAATGTGCTAAATTTTATTGTTTATCTTGAAAAAAAACAACAAGAAAAAAACTTTTTGAAGACCTCAGTGGATCACATATTTAAACCTGGCTTCAGTAATTGACCGATGAAGATGGATACCAAGACAGTTAAGAAGAGCGATGAACTCACATCGTCTTGGATTACACAATAAATGGGCTCTGCTTGCTGACTTGGCCTTATCTCCTTCAGTACTGACTGGCTCATTAGAAAGTACCCAGAAGAAGAATTGTGTTTCAGTGTAGATGAGAATACAAGTGGCGTTGGTGACTTTTAATGTGAGGCAATAAAAACGCTGTGTGTTGCTTAAATGTACCAAATGACGTGTAATGTGAAAGTTGTGGCTCATAACGACAAAGCCGGAAAGCATTAGCATCAACTCTGCAGTGCTTTATTCCATCAGCTCTGTCTCCATCTCCTGAAGCCAGCTGTTTGTTAAAAGCCAACAAGAAATTAAGCTCTGACAAACCTGCTGTACACCATCCACCCTGCACCATGCATGAGGCAAAATTAAAGAGTGGCTAATGAACAACCTACAAACTGTATATCAAGGATACACACCCTGTACCTCGTGGCCGGTCTGACTGAGTGAAAAAACGGAGGATATTGCCTGCTGAGCCGAGCCTGGCAGCGACCTGTCAGTCACAAAGTAGTTATGTCCCTGCTCTGCATGGCATCGTAACATAAGAAATGAACACTATGCAGTATGCAGGAAGACTCCAAACCAAAGACTTCATTGTTTTTAGTGACCACCGGAGTGTTCCAACAGCACTAACACGTCCAAGCAGTCCAGTTGAACTGTGGTGTTGTGAGTTTCCATGCGCATATGTAGTATGTCATCACCTGTCTTTGTCCCCCTCTCTCTCAGCGTGCCATCCCTCCTGCCAGACCTGCTCCGGTCCCTCCCAGGCCGACTGCATCGCCTGCCCCCCGCTGGTGTCCCTGCAGAGTGGCCACTGCAGGGCAAACTGCCAAGAGGGGCATTTCCTTAATGCTATCTCTGGAGAGTGCGTCAGTAAGTCAGACTGTGTGTAAATGTGTGTGAGAGAGAGTACGGATGGTTTAATGCTCATTTATATGCCATTTGCGCAAAGCTTTCATCAAACACGCTGTTTTTTCACTCCGAGTGGCACCCATGGGAGTAGAACTACCAACCTTGGCAGGGAGAGTCCCTTGCTCTGCCCGCTTAGCTTTGCATGATCACACATAGAGACATACCAATTCCTGCGTGTCTGAAGCTCCAGTAATCTGCATTATTCATCAGAAATGCCAGTCATCTTTGTAAAATAGATGCTCTTAGAGTTGGTTTCACTTTCTACTTCAGGGTTTTTCCTGGCTTAGCTTAAGCCTTTAGCAGGGCGACTACACTCGTGAGTACATACAGTCAGGGCGATAGGTCTGTGTTGTATTACTGGGCAGAAATCTGTGCTTTTTAACGTTAATTACAACTATTTAGCTGAAGAAAAATGTCCATTATTCTGAGTAAATGAAATCTCATTTTTCCATACTGAGTTTTTGGGTAGCCACCGAAAACTCCTCGATGAAGTACTTGTACTGTATTTCACTCTGCAGGCTTCTAGATAATTTATCTTCAATATCCACGGGAACAGTTGGACATAAAGCAGGTTTTGTCCTTTTTTTCCCAGAACACTTATTTCAGATCTAAACACCCTATTGAAATTCTTACATCAGTTGTTATCATTTTTATACATATCACCTGTAAGCAGTATCCTCTATCGACTCTCTACTAAGTATAAGCATAAAGTGGATGGAGGCATGGTGGAGGTTTCACTCACATACCATCCACTTAAGGATCCAATAATTAGATTTCATCAGTCTGATCAAATCACAAAAGTTACATTAGGTGAAAATGGGACAATCTTGTTGTTGTCAGCTCAGTTAATATTATCCTAATTGTGTGTGTGAGGACACCCACTCACTGAGTAGTGCACGGTTAGTTTTCAAGTTCGACTCCTTCGCACAGATCTGTGTTATCACTGGTTACAAAGGAAAACCTACAGACCCTGTTAGTTTGAGGCTGCAGTGATAGCAAGGGACTGACTGCAGCTAATAACATCTATTGAGTGTGCTGAAAACCTCTGATGTTCAAAGAGACCTTTAGTATGAATAAAAAGACACTTATAATAGACTTTCCCTTATTTCCAGTTCTCTAAATGTTGGCATTAAATTCATCAAACCTATAGACAAATAAAAATACCAGTAAGTGCATCACAACTGATTTTTGTTGCTGATTAACTCCCCGGCATCAAATAATCAAACCTACTGACAGACTGAAACTGAAAAATCTGCAGGATTAATTCGATAATGTGAATTATAGCAGCTGCTCTAGTTAGCCAATCAGCTGTCTCGAAATAAACCACAAATGCAATAAAAAGGCTTCTATATGGTAGCTTGTTTTCACTGAGCTGACGGTTATCATGCATATAATATATTTTTGCATACATTTTCATCCCAATTTATCAAAAGAAACTGTGACAAATGGAACTAATAATCTTTTGCTGCACAGATGGAGGAAACGGCTGTAGTGTAGGTTATAATGCGTGCCTTTCACAATGTTAACTCTCCACATTGAAACATAATGCTTGGTCATAAAATGGTTTTTAAAAATTGCTCAGTGAACAAAGTTCAGTATAAACTGTAATAGTGAATGGTCCTTACAAGCAGGTGTATTTGAGGAATTCTGTGTGAATCCACTATTATCATTCCTGATGCATCACTGCACTGAGGCCAAAGCACTGTGAGGTGTAATTGGCTTTGACAAAACAGCAAAATCTGATAGGAATGAAAACAAGCTGAGTTTTTAGAGACACATTTTTACACCAATGTGTAACAAATAAATCAAAATAAAAAAATAATGGTGGCCATAACCTAAATCTGCAGAATAAAGTGAGTTAAAATAGGAATTTAAAGTAGAGAAAAACACATTCCTAACTAGACCCTTCCCCTCCTACAAGTTACTGGATAAAAGTTTTTTATCATTAGTGTTTGAAAAAAAAAAAACTTTTAATGAGTTTGTGGCTCCCGGTTTCAGAGAAAAATCCATGGAGATAACGGTGAATTTTCATGAGATCTTTTCTCATAAACACCAGCTTACGCTTCACTTCCTCCCCACTCATCTCCTTCATTGTCCCCAAAATACGCTGCTTGTCTTTGGCAGGCAAAGTGACAGAAGATAAATAGAAAATGTAAGATTAGTTTGTGTGTGTGTGTCCTCTGATGTTGTCCTCCTTCTTCCTTGTTAATGAAATGAGTTTTTACCTATCTGGGCTGCTGGCTATAGATTATAAACAGGCATATTTACAAGATGAGAAGTCAGCATGGAGGAGATAGTGGAAGGGTAAACAAAATCTGAGGGGGAAAAAAAATCGACTTTTAATTACAGTTTTTGATGACGCGCATTGTTTGGAGATGTAAAATGGCAACAAGATTTAGCCCCACTCGTATGTGCACATGTGCGGACATGCACGGCTGGCTCATGTCCACACACACATGTACGCAAACACACAAGAAAATAAACACGGTGAAACAGAGACACACACAACCTAATCTCAAATGGGTCAAGCTCAGCCAAACTCTAGTTAATAAAAGATGCCTTTTGGCACTTCTGGGCCACAGAAATACCGGGGTCATCATTTCTGCATAGTCAGGACACACACAAAAACATGCACACACACACGTACATACACACACACGTACATACACACAACCTGCCCCTACGAGCTCTAATTCTTATACTCATAGCTTCCAAAAAACATTTCTACATTATTTCTTCTCTTTCTCACACGCACACACGGAGCCTGAGATTACCTCGGTCCATTCTGCGCTACACAACTCCTTTGGGCAATTGAGGCTTTTCCTCTCAGTTGTGAGTTCACACGAGAGCAGCCATCAGACGGAGATGCCTCCTTTTATTCTCCTGCTGTCCGTCTCTCTCTGTCACACTCTGTTTCTCCTGGTCTGTGTTGGATCTTGAGGGACTCTCCTTTCATCAGTATTCAAAAGCACAGAGAGTCCAGTCCCATACATATGCAGCTGTTCCTTCTAGATTTGCCAGATTTTGCAAGTTATTTGTGATGTTTTTGCAGAAATGTTCGCATCTGCTGGAGATACAGACCAACAGGTTGTACCTGTAAAAATTACGTGTTTCTCCCAGTTTAACTCCTTTTAATTGACCAGTATTCAGTTACTTGTTACTCAGCTCTTTCTTTCAGTTACTTGTTTCAGTTACTGCTTTAACGTTTCCATGTGTGCGACTCAGACTCTGGCAAAAGTGACTCAGCCAAGATGGGTGCTAAGATACAGGTCTGTATTTCCCACTTATGCCAGTGGCCTCAGGTGCATGATGGGAGATAGTGATGAGTCAGGTGTGTGTAGAGATTAAGAGCATGTGGGTTTGGTTTTCTGAAAGTGACCTAAATCTGCAGTACAGCTGCACACTGTAAGAAGTGTTACTGTTATTAGAGAGAGGATATCCTAATATGGTCCTCTCAGGAACACAGGTTCACACTTAGATCTAGGCACCTGCTGTTCAAACCTTCAGTTTGCAAGGAGCAGCCAGTCAGAAGAAATTTGATGTAAAGCTACAAAATTATGTTTAACTTGACCTGTGAACCACTGAAGAAGGCAAATACAGTCTAAGAATGAAATATACAAAGTTGCAAATGATCACAATAGATCTCCTGAAAGACTGTTGGTTCTTCATCTCAACATTTTAGTATAAAGATTAATGAACTCTGCAACAATCTGGAGCTCCGTAGACTTTTACTTCAGTCTCTGTTTTATCGTAAAGATAATAAACAGATGGAATCGGCCAAATTCTTGCAAAGGGCTTGTTGTAGTTCCTCTCTATGAGAGTTCCCAACGGTACTTTCACTCTGGCCAGCCTGATACCTCTTGCTCTCTTGCCCTCTTCTCTTCTCTCTCTTTCTTTTTTTTTTAAAGCTTGACTTTTAAAGTAAAGACAATCAGCTTCTGAGCCAGTGATGAAGAAAGATCTGAGTTTCAAATAAAGGAGTGTTTGTGGAACGCTTTCACTCAAAACTTACAGCTGCGAGAGTTTTTTTGCATCATGATTGTGCTGGAGCCGAACATGTGAGGTTTAAAATAGGCCTGCACACATGAATGCATCACCATAGAAACACAGCATGCCAACAATGAAATGAAAGACATGGGATCGTGTTCTTTTTTTTTTTCTTTTCTTTTCTGCGTGGTCAACTGAGAATAAAATCCGTCCATGGAAACGCATTTAAGAAACGTTGGCGCCTACGGCGACAGATGCTGCGAATGTCTCTTTTCAAGCATCTGTCAAGTGCTGATGCTGAAGGCCAGCAGGAATACGAGCGGTTTAAAATGGGTTACTGCTGATTGTGTTGCTCAGTTTAGTTGAAATATAACTTTTTTCCCAGCTTTGAATGCACAACTGGTTTGTTTTTTTATTATCATTTGCCATGTAGCACTTTCTCATTTCACGTATTGGTTACTTTTTTACCTTGAAACCAGTTAATCGGAGAAAATGGAGAAAATAGACAGGACTGAGTACTGTGTACTTGATTTTTAGCAGTGCAAACAGTCGAGGTGTGATTGTAGGAAGCAACATGTGAACTTACAGAGGTCTTTTTGAATATCTGCATTAGAAAACATTAAATAGATGACCTTACATCATAATTAGACCCTCAGGGAATCATAGTTATTTTACAGGTTGAATAAAAGCATTGGCTTGTAATTAAATTGCTAAATGTGGAAGTCAATTGACACGGCATTGTGAAAAGGGTTATTACTTTATTGTGTTATTTTTTTTAATTTTTTTTTTTTACATTTTGCTCCAGGGAAGTACTCACAGATAATTGCAGCTCAGGCGAATTGAATGCACTGCATTTGATGCATAAATACTATAATTACTGTGAGTGTCATTACAAAATGACGCTGAATTGTTTCCTGATTTAGTGTTTTAGTCTCGTGTTTTGTTTTTTATGTCTTTAGCACTTTTCAGACAAA